TAAGGATATTTAGAAATGACCAGTGTTATAAAGTAGAAAACAAAAAGACTATAAAATTGATAAATAAAACTAAAAAGTGGTCTTTGAAAAGACTAACAAAATTGATGAAACTTTAATCAAATTGATTTTTTTTTGAAGAGAAGAAAATCAAATCATCAAAACAAAAAAATCCAGTCTTTTGGCCATTCAAAGAGACTTTGTATTGATTATGTAATTTGATTACTGACTCTGGCCCTGGTTATGTGCTGCGTTCAGTTTTTATTTTTTCACGTACAAAACATAGTTTGGTTGGATTGGATATACTTCATTTTATGGCTCATTCATCAGGAAAAACATTGACCAATTATTGTAGGTGGCTCTTTGTGTGTGTGTGTGTGTGTGTGTGTGTGTATGTGTGTGTGTTCTAATCTTCTAGTTAATTCTTTCTTCTGGAATAGGGAGACAATGATTTTCCCCTAGTGAAGCATTATATTTGCTCTTCAATGTTATCAAAATGCTTTTTGCAAAGGCATACCCACTTCCAGAAAAATCAGATAATCATTTCCATCTGAATCTGGAGAAATTCACTGTGTCCTGCCACATTCTGGCAAAAGAAGACAATAAATAATGTAAATAAGCAGGTCCCTTAAGTAGGGTGACCCTTAAGGTTAAGAAACTTTGCTCTAGAATCATAGGATGTCAGCACCAGAAAGAACCTTACCCATCATCCAAGGGTCCTTAACCTTTTTTTGTGACGTGGAACCTTTAGCAATCTGCTGAAGCCAATGGACCCCCTTCTCTGAATAGTATTTTAAATGCATGAAGTAAAACACAAAAAAAGGAAACCAATTATACTGAAATATAGTTGTATAAACATACATATTTTCAAAAGTTCAGAACCTCTGGAGAGTTCAATGCCTTTGTTTTATAATTGAGGAAACTGAGGCTCAGAGAGTTAAATGACCTGCAGTAGGCAGTGGCAGAGACAGGATCTGAATAAAGGTCTCATGGTGGCCAGGCAGGTGCTTTTTCCATTACTCCACACTGTCTAGCATCCTTTTTTGTAGAAAATTTAAAGGCGGCACCATAAGCAGGGTTTGTTAGTGTTCTGAGGCTCTGCTGTGTACCTTTGCTCAGGAGCCTATTGTCTCTTCCAATAGAATATGTGCTCCTTGAGAGGAAGGATTGTTTCGTTTATGTTTTTGAATCCCCAGCACCTGGCAAATAGTAGTACTTTATGCTTGGTCATTTGAAGTCATATTCCTAAATTCTTGTCCTGATTTTGAGGAACTGATGACCATATTACTTAGGGTGTGAGCATCAGTATTGAGTAATTTATTCCAGCTATATCCACAGAATGTTTATAGGCTATGAGATGCCCTGGAAGGTCAAGGAAAAACTGTTAACTCCATAGTGCAGCTGCCTGAAATGATCTAAGCATCCAAACTATGAAAAATTAGAAAAAGCAAAACCTTGTGGTCATCCAGAATGCAACAGAAAGAACAAAGAGTGCCAGCATTTTGGTGAAACTGGGAATGAGAATCAATAGCTTGTTGTATGGTAGGGGTTAAAAGTGTTGGTGGAATTGTAGTTGAGAATCAATAATGGTATTACCTTTAGTAAGAGGTCCGGGCAAATTAGAATGTGCTCCTATGTGAGTAATATAAAGAGGACTGGTATGAGACTGAATAAGGGTTTGTAACTGTTGAAAAAGGGAATAGAAATTGGGGGACAATATGTGCTTTAATTTTGGTGTTTCTATATGTTGACAAACATACATAGAATGTTTACTCTCTGACTACATTAAGAGGTTGAAAAAAATCTTGAAAAAGGAGTATCAAAGCAAAAAGTTCTGCCTTCTGGGCAGAGGAAAAGGAAGTTTGAATTATTTTGTGACAGTGTTGAGAAATATAATAACCAGCTTTTCCACTACTTGAGCTGTCAGTAAAAGCAGTGAGCATTTGGGGTATAGGGGTGTATTGTATGACGTTTGGGAAAATCCAAAGATAATTAGTGAAAAAGAATAATATCTTAAGTGAAGGAAGATGATTATCAAGTTTACTCGTAAATATAGAGAGAGCAACTTGACAGACTTCAGAGGAGGCTATTAGGGAATTAAGCTGTTGTTTATTGTAGGGCTGATGAATAGCGGGAAAAAAATGTCCTGACAATCATAAATATCTTTTTGACAGTCATTGAACTAATAATGCTACTATTGTAGTATAGGAAGTAAGTGAACTAGGGAATTGGTGAGGGAGATAAATCTACTCAATTACACTAGCAGTTTGAAATAAGACTGTAGTAGGAGAAATAGGTGTGACTAATATAGCTGTTTGTACTTTTCCTGGGGATTAATACAAATCAATTGGGCTTTAGTTATCTTTTATTCTATTAGTTTAAATTCATCTTTTGTCTGAGGTGTAAATATTCTTGGTGAGGTGTCTGAGGGTGGTAAAAAGATTAGGTAATTGATTAGTGGTGATCTGCAGGCTGAAGCTAATTAATATCTCTAAGAAGTTTTTGAAAATCATTAAGAGTTTTTAAGGAATCTTGACTGAGTTGTAACTTTTGGGATCTAATTATAGACTCTGAGACAATATGTCTAAGGTAAGCAAAGGGTGATTTCTTTTGTACCTTTTCAAGGGCAATTATGAATCTATGAGACTGAAGGGCTTGTTGAAGTTCACGCATTAATAAGGAAAGTTCACTAGTAGTATAACAACTGCAAAGTATATCATCCATATAATGAATTATTTTTGTCTGGGAATATCTCTAACAGGTTTGATAGTGCTATGAACAAAATTTTGGTACGTGGTGGGAAATATTCCTTCTTAAAGGAACACAATAGGGAAAGTGAGCCAGGAGGATCCCATTCTAGATTTAGGCTAAGATTGTCCTCACGGTTTTTTCCCAAATGAATTACATTCCCTCTGAGTAAACAAAATTAGTTATAGTCTCAAGAGCCTTTTACCTCAAACAGCAAGTTTCACTAATCACAGCTTAAAGTCAGATACAGTTAATTTTACTCTCATGGAGTTGTAATAAGCAATAAAGATTTAGTAGGGCTCACATAAGAGATTTCACTTAATGTCAATTTTTTCGCAAATTTAAGGTTGTTTTGGTGTAAAAGCCAATCATTAGAAATCATTTCTATACATTTGCAAATTCTTAGCAAGCCAAGTTCATTATTTAGGAACTCTATAACGCAAACAAATTCTTTTCTCAGGGCAGATGACCTTGCCCATACAGATGGTTTCCAGGGACCTTGGCAAGTTTATAAAATAAACTTGTGCCCCTCCTTTTCATACATAAGTAATTAATTAACAATTCTAGGTTTTAACATTAAAACAGTAACTTCAAATAACTTAATTAACAATCTGGTAATTTTCATAAGTGATAGTCAAATTATTTTAGCTATAAGCCGTTTAATTACAGGTAAAGGTGGAAATACCTGATTTTCTAATTGACAGTTATAAAACATCATAAGACAGGATTAGCAGGGCTTGATAAAGTAATTTAACTGGTTTTACACAATTTTCTCACTGTCTTTTAGTTTCTTTTAGTTCACATTTTAATGATATCCAAATTATGAAAAACTGATTGACATAACTGATAACAAAAGTTTACCAATTTGAAACAATACTAAATGTTTAAAACTTCAAACAACTACATTACCAATCAGGTGACTCCAATTCTGTTGAATGCATTTCCAAATTTCCTTACACAGAAAATCAGGCATCTCTTTACCATTGACATTGTATACTGGTCACATCTAATTAAGGAACTAATAATAATAGTTAATATTTATAGTGTTTGCATGCTGTTAGGCATTGTGTTAGGCATCTTTTAATCATATGAGATAAACTGAGGTAACTTGCTTAATGTCACCCAGTTAACAAATTTCAGATCTATACATTTTCCTAATTTACTTTAGTGACAAACAATATAATAAATTCTGACTTAAGCATTAAATTAAGAGCATCACATTTCATTTGAAATATTACCAGAATGAACTAAATTATCTTTTGGTTGTGTTCCAATACATAAAAACTTTTCTTTTTGATTTGAGGGGAAAAAATTCACCCTTCTTTCCTCTTTGTCTTTCTCTCTTCCACATTCAACAACTTGGCCAAAGCTGGAATGCAGGAGTGAGGAAGACAAAATTTTCCAACAACTTTTCTTTCTTGTCTTTCACTTCACATTCAAAACTTGGCCAGAGCTAGAATGTAAAGAGAGAGAGAAAAAAAAATTTCCAACAATTCTTTAAAAGTTTCCAAATCTTTTACTCTCAAAACCTCTGTTCACACTGTTCATGCAAACAGCTTATGCTTTTCTTTCTACCCATACTTCTCTCATTTCTACATGCTTAAACTTTCTTGCCTTTTCTTCTACCTACTTATCCCTCTGATGGACTTTGATTAAAGTCCCTTTAAAACTGCACAAATCTTATTTCTTTCTAATTCTGATCTGATACTTCGAGGATCCTTCTCAACCTGCTTTTTACCAATCATATAACCTAAATAACAAAGTATTTTTCTCTCTTTCTCTCTCCTCTGAGGTGGCTGGTATTAGGGAGGGAGAAGGGGAGAAAGAAAGCAGCATTCCAGAGTCCAGCTGCAGCCCTTGGAATGCTATTCTTGCTATGTGGTTACAAAGGGTATCAGATTACACACAGACACTCACTCATACCACACAGACAAACACAGAACAGATACACAGTAATGACAGGGAGAATCCAAAAGCTCAGAGGGACTTGTTAGAAATTCCTTGCACAAATCAAACAATTTTTTCTTTTCATGGTTCTCCAGATGTTATGGAGACCAGGCAAAATTTTCCTTAAGATCTTGGAGAGTGAGCTTTCTCCAGGGAGAACACACTTTAGCCAAATGAGAGGAAAGAAAACTTGAAGGTATTTGCTCTCGATCTTTAAGTTGAATCTGACCCATTCTAAAGGAGAGCAGAAAAATCCCTGAATAAGCCTAGTGTCGTGTTTCTTTCAACATGAAATGAAATTCCCTTACCCTCTGTCTCTTGTTGTAGTGGAGCTCTGATCCGGTAAGGCACCACTGTGTCATGTTCTGTCTTCAATCTTCCAGGTTAAGTGGTCCCCGTCCAAGGCTGAAGTGGTCCTTGTTTAGGCACCAACTGCCAGCAGCTGGCATGATGTAGGACAGAGCAGTGAGGAAAAACGGAGAAAGAAAAGTTGGGCTAGGTGAGTCTTAGAGGTTAATGCTCAAGACTAGTTTATTTCAGGAGTTTTCTCATTATACACCCATAGAAAAACAGCTTTGTACCATGAGAAATGATCTACAAGTGCTAATTAATAGCAAACACAAACTAAGCAACTAAAGATCCTTATTTTCTCATGAGAAAGTAGTTTTAATGCCAAAATTCATATCTATTGTTTCCCTGCCCAGTTCTTAGTATTATCTGTCCGAGTCAGCCACCTGGCCTCAAGGCTGGGCATGAGTTGATTAGAATCAACAAACTGAATTGGGGCAAGAGTCATGGTAGCGTTTATCTCGAGGCAAGCCTCTATAAATCCTGACCCCTTAAGTTCATAAGGACTTAGAGATTTTCCATAAGGTCTCGGCTCCCAACAAATGAGTGAAACTCCTCAATAAGATTATTAACTCCTTAAAAGTAAGGATATTCAACTCTTTGTCTTTGTATGGATAGCACTTAGCAAATTCCTGGCACAGGGTAAGCACTAAATAAACACTTGTTGGTTGATTGATACATTTCATGATGGCAGGCTGTTATCAACAGTCATGCTAGGTACTAGTATGGCAGAAAGACAGACCCTTTTAACTAACAGATTGAATCAAGCCAGGTCATAAACAGCTACTCTTAGGTCTAAAGAGTCAATGAGGCCCCCAAAGACCCAATTATTCAGGAAAAGATGGAATTGGTGTTCAAGATATTCTGATATTTAGTGGATTTGTGTTCTCATGAGGAACACAGGTCTGAAAATAAATTTTCAGTGATGAGAACTGCTATCATTTTTAGAAGACAGTTGGCATGATAGAGGGCCTGAGTTCAAGTCTTGCCTTTGATGCATTCTGGCTGTGTGATCCTGGACATCAATTAACCTCTCAGTGTTGCACACAACTCTCTAAGACTAGAAGCTGCAGAAAAGGTGTTGCCTTGCATTGGTAGAGGGGGTTTTCTCATTTCAAGGTCTCTGTATCAGTGAAACCACAGGTCTAGTTCCTTGGCCCTATCCTCCTATTATCTTTAGAAAATAAGATGGACAAAACTACAGATACAACCTTTCTACCTTCATTCACTGGTTTTGTAAAGAAAGGACATTAGATAAACCACCATGAAAGAGGACAGTTCCATAGGAATAGTGGATATACAATTATTGGGTGACGGGTCAACATGATAACACATCCATGACATTAGTCCAAAACAAAAACGTTCAGGACAATATTAAGGGGGATATGCCAGCACATGTTGTTGAGGATGATAGTATTTTAATAACTTCATTCAATGTTTAGCCAAAACGGGAATATGGAAAGAAGGAAGTAGGTATTTGGGAACTGGGAGCCTTTCCAGGAAAGCCTCAGATCATATCAATTAGGTTCATAGCTGCCGAATTCAGTGAGCCTTGCATATAACACTAACATAGGATTTTTAGAGTTGGACAGAACATTGGGGATCATTTAATTTATGAGGTTGATGAACTTGGAACTTTTAATATTTTGATAACTTTATTTCAATAAAATTGATTTCCTTTTTAATCCTATGCATTTTACTTTATACATTGAAAAGTGTAATTTCGAGGACTCATAAGCTTTACCAGATTGCCAAAGGGATCCATGACAAGACAAAGTTAAAACCCCTGCTCTAATCTAGTCCTCTCTTTTTCAAGATGACTTAACTGAATCTCTGAAAGTTAAAGTGATTTGTAGAAGGTCCCACCTTCAGAGTCAGGATTCAAAGGTCTTTCAAAGTCAAACTCAATGTTCTTTCCACTACACCAGGAAATATGGGTGGATAGCAGAGGGAAGTACTTAGAAAACCCAGTTCAGTATCTTTAGAATTTTCTTGGGTGGAATGAAACCATATAATTTGTCTTGGTTCTTTTTTCCCCCCAAGGTGGGAGAGTAGAAAATTTCCCACACACACAGACACACACACATACACATATACAAGTAGAGATTAATTATCAACTGGCAGTGCCTCTAAGTGTTATTGAAATGAATGCTTTGCCATATCTGAGCATAGTTGGAAAATAGCTATCACCTAGATTATTATTATGGGGAGAGTACAAAATTAATGCTATTTTACCATTTTAAAAGATATAATTTATATACTTCTAGATTAAGTTTCTCAAGTTTTAGAAATTTCAAAGGGTTTTAAAATACTTAAATATGTATATTCCTTTTGTCTATCATCTATAGATTCATTCTTCTACTTATATATTTACTTATTTGTGTATGTATGCGTGCATGCATGCATGCATGTATGTATGTGACTCTCTAGCTGTTTGTCTTTGGGCTAGACCTGCGGGCATTTTACTGATGTGGGGAGTTGTGGGATTGTTAATGTAGATCAACAATTCATCCTTCACTTGCAGTCTGAGAGAGTTGTCAAGGTTAAGTGACTGAGAGGTAAAGTGATTTGCCCTTGGGTCATACAACTATTATGTATCAGAGTTAGAACTTGAACCCATGTCTTCTTGACTCCAATACCACTGTACTATACTGTATCATTCCACAAATTTACTATGTATGTATGTTTTACACATCCAGAATTTGAACTGTGTAAGATTGTTGCCCCAAATATTAACATTTCTGATGAAATGATATGAATCACTTGTTAAAGCCAACTGTATTGTGAGATTTAAACCACAGCAAAAATATATTAGCGACTATGCCCAGCCAGAGTGTGCATATTAAAGTAGCTATTTTTATAGATCTGAAACATAGTGTAAATACCCCGAAACACATAATCCTCAAGTCTCTTAATAGTTATGACTAAGCATAGCTTTTGGAATTTAATAAAAAAGAAAATAATTGTCCATCCCATTGAATCTTTCAACTCTATAACAAACAACCTTCCATAAAAGGAACTCAAGGAAGAAAGTTTTTAGACTATTAGTCACTACTCTACCTTATTGTTTCTCTCTGCCATTGCCCATAGCAACTTTTCTAAACCTTCTCCTCTCTATTTAATCCTCCAATAGCAGCTCCTATTGCTTCTCAACACATACTTATGACTGAAGGTCAATTCTCCCACTTTATACAGATTAAAGTCATTCCAGCTGACCTTTCGTATGTCCCTTCCTTTACTCCTTAAAACTTCTTTGTATATTTTTAATTCTTTCCTATTTTCTTCCCATCATAGAGAAAGGTGTGTGTGTACATACATACATTCACACATACATACATGTACATGCGTATACACACATGTATGTGTGTATACCATGTGTATACACACAGAGACACACGCACACATACACAGATCTTATTACTTCAGGTCCACAGTGAATAATTATGCCCTTGTTTATAAGAGGTCAAGGGATGCTCTTGAAGCAGAGTCTTATATTCAGTTCCGAGTACCAAATGCAATAGGGGTGCAGGTCCTATTACTCCCAGACTCAATTTCATTTGCTTATATGTACAAATCTCTCTGGGATTTCCTCTTAGATCCTTAAGATTGTTCACAAGTAACTAAGTCTCAGATTTATAACTAAACATTTTAATTAGAATCCAGAAAATCAAGAAGCATTAACTCTTCATAAAATGTGACATTCCAATCACTCGTAAGTTACAACCTTTCTTTCTGGTTGGAGTCTATTTTCAGTCTCTTCAATCTCACAAGTTACAAGAGAGACATAGCCTGGAAAAACAGTATTTCTTTTTGTAAACCTCCTGTATTCCAGTAAAACAATAAGGGGATCCACTGTTAACTCATAACAGGCTATCACACATGAATCGTAATTATTATAGAAACTTTAGGTGATCCTCTTGGCTATAATTTCAAGGGCAAATAAGACAATAGGGTGACTGGCTCCATGGCCCTATGTATGGCTCTAAATCTAAAAATTATAACATTGTTGTGGCTTGTGCACCTGCCTAACCCTGTAATAGTTTCATTGAAAAGAGACAGTGCTCAGATATACATGGACTGTCACACTTCTAACCCATGGGGGATAACTGGTAAGGGTGCCAATTTTTCTCCTTTGGCTTTGTACACCTTCACATACAAATTACGTAGCTTAAACAATTAAAAAACAAAAACAAAACCAAATCACATAGCTTGTGTCATGCCTGTGGAACCGTTCAATCTAAACTCACATCCTGAGATATTTAGCATTTTAGGAAGAAAGGGAAAACCAAGCTATATAGAAATATCAAAGTCTTAGCAAAGTATTTAAATATTCCCTTTGCACTGTAAAGCAAAGGGATATGAGGAAAAGAGAACCTGGTCTGAGTCCTAAGCTGAGAGAGTCAAGTGAAGCCTGATCTGGGGTATGCCAAAGGTTTCTGGACTATCAAGTCCAGAGAGGGCATGACAGGACTGGAGTTTGACTTAGCTGTTTCAAAGGCATGGAGGTCAGGTCAGAGGAAATAAGTAAGGTGGTTTGTTTTTCCACAACTTCTCCTTCCAAGATAGCATTCAGACATGGCAGAAGTATGCAGCCTGCTCTTCCATGGTGCCATACACTCCTTGGCATCTTAGCCTTTTTTTTTTTTAATCATTTGGTGAGAATGGACTTGTGGCTCATGGCCTTTACTAGAACACCTGTGGGATCTTCATACAAACATGGGTGGGGTAAAATTAGAATTTTTAAGTCAATAAAATGGGAAATAAGTGTCAGATGAGCACACTTACCCTTTGAATTACTTATTCCATTGATATCAAACAATTATTAAGATGGATTTTCCTTCAGGAAGTATTATAAGGCTTTGCTTGATTTTTTCCTGTTAGATTTTAAGTCTAAAGGTCAGACTCCTAAAGGTGTAAAATTCTATGTTAAAATGTAATGTGGACATTAAGACTAAAGCCCGCTCTTCAAATAGGATGAATGATGATAAATGGGCAAGATACTTCCTGCATTCATCGCAAGCTTATTTGTTCATTGTGTTTAATATGAAAAGAAGCATAATTCTTTGGCCAGTATAAAATTAACATGTTTTATTTATCTGAAATATCCCTCTTCTAGAGAGCAAATACCAGACGTACCATTTCTTTGCCTAGCAAGAGAGGAGATTGCAGGTTTGGATTAGAATTACATGAATGTAAAAGGGACATAGGAAACAAGACTGACTTCAGAGTCTAAGGACTTGTGAATTCCAATTTTGCTGCTCTCTACCTCAGTGACTTGGGTGAGTCTCTGGGCCTCAATTTCATCTTCTAAAACTAAGGGTCTGGAACAGATATTTTATAT